ATCATCTCTGATTGGAAGGGTCCGTGAGGTCCTGCCCTCAACTTTGCTGCGTTCTGGAGGGGTAGCAGGGCAAGAGGGTCCCACCACCACCAGACCCTTGATGGGGCCTGCGTTCTCAGGTCATGTCTGCTGACACCTCCTGGATTCGATCCTCTGCCTGGAGAAGCCGGGGTGAGGAGCTGCTTTTCTCATGGTCCAGTCCAGCAAGGCTTTTAAATGGGACATGGTTTCTCTCCTCCTACTTGAAGACTCCTGCCTCCCAGACTTACCCGAGCACCAGCAAGTCTGCGTGGGAGCCTCAGCCACGTCCACGGGCTCCCTGGGCGCCCAGGATGCCGCGCACCCCCAGGCCTCAGGTCTGAGAACGGCCTGCTGGCCGGTGCGCGGCGCGGCCGGCCGCCCACCCACCTCGAGTGTCATTTTCCCCGCTGTCCCTCCTGCCTCCCTATAGCCATGTCCCCGTCGGCCTCAGCCAGCTGCCTGGTTCCAAGCCGAGACCATGTGGTGTTTACTTCTGTAGCAGGGCCAGACGCTAGCTCTGTGTTCCTGATCTATTGTTGCCGAAGGCTCACTGGTTTGAGAAAACGCTTATTGTATGATTTCTTGCACTTTGGCGGTTCAGGACCATGGACAGCGCACCGCACTTCCACTGATTCCGTTAGTTAGAGTGACTGAGGGCACTTCCACGGCAGTGTGGGCTCGTTGACAGGGGCTCGGATTCCGCCGCCGTGGGGCATCGGGAGCACCCTGAGACCAGCTGCCGGGCTGGCAGAGCCCATGGGGGGATGTGCTCTAGCTCCGCTTGCGCCTCGGGGGCCACGCGCCCCTGTAAAATGGGGACAGTCCTCGTCACCGCCATCACACCCCTTGTCAGCTTGCCGCGGGTTCATACGGAAGGCTCCCGGAGCAGCTCCGGCTCACAGGGAGCCCAATGCTGTGTTGAAATTTTTTTTTAAAAATATTTTTTTAAATAGCTGTGTAAGTCCCACAGAGCCAAATACAGCCTTGACTGTCACTGGGGTCTACACTGTGACGGTGGGTCGGAGAGACACAAGCGTGAACAAGCCACCGGCTTTCCCGTGCTCCAAAGGGGCGTCTGAAGGGGAGGCAGAGGATGCGCTGTGACGCTCCGCCGCCTGGTGTTGCCCCGGGCTCCACGGGAGCGAAGAGACTGAGAGTCACCGGGGCCACCCCCCTCACCGAGGGGGCCGCCCACTGTGTGTCTCCTGCAGGGGGCCTCACGGCCTTCAGAGCTCACGAGGAGCTGCTCCCAGGGTTCTCTGTTTCCTCGGTGCTGCGAGCAGAAGGTGCACATTTGGAAGGATGGGAGCGTGGGGACTCAGTCTGATGCTGTGGGGACCTCTTCTGGTTGCATCGGTAGAATTTGCCCCAAGCAGGGGGCAGGGTGACAGGTTCGCTCCCCTTGGCAGTTGTGGGGGGACCTGCGTTCAGGGGAGAGTCACACAGCAGCAGAGAACCAGAAGCTTCGGCTTTGGGAAGAGCCCGGGACTAAGAGGCGGCTTGGCTGGGTGCCCACGCGGCAGGATGTCTCCTTGCTCCCTGGAAGCAAGGATGTGTCGGGAGAGGCGCCACTCCAGGCGCACGGACCAGGCTCGGCCCCTGGAGGGCAGCGGGTCCCCGCTCGGGCGCTCCGTGGTCCCCAGCCACTGGCGCCCTGACCCAGGGACGCTCGGGCACGGTCTCTGTGAAATTGCCTGGGGACCACGCGAAGCTGTTAGTCTTGAGGGTCAGGGTGCGATGGTGTAACTCCTGGAACCCCCTGAGGAATCTGGCCTTCTGTGATTCTCACTTGGCACAGATACTCTGTAAAAAAAAATCAGTGTTCAGGATTACTGGAAGCAAGAAAAGTAAGTAAATAAGTAAATAGGAAGCTGACGGTAACATGTTTCCTGTGTCTCCAGTCGAGCCTCTGATCACAAAAGTCTGTCTGGCTTGCGTCTGCTCTCCGCTCTCCGCTGCACCGCTCTCCAGGGCTCCGCCCTACCACGCCGTGCAGGGTGGGCTCCTCCTGCTGTTGGTGGAGGCGCCGAGCAGCCCGCTCGCCGCCCCGGGCATGCGGGCTCCCTCCTGTGCTGCAGGCTCATGCGTGCGGGTGCGGAAGGGGACTCTGAGGTCAGCTAGGGGGCACTGGCTCCGCGTGCCAGGGCGCTCGGGTCCAGCCTCGGGAGCCCGGGTCGGCGGGCAGCCCAGCCGTGCAAGGTCCAGCGCCTGCAGAGCCCGCTCGCTGCTTCTGCCGCCGGGGCCAGAGGTCTCAGACACGGAGCCCACAGACACGGAGCCCACATCCGGCCTGCCCACGCCTTCGGGTTGATCTGGATTACGTGCAGACTGTGTAACCTGCCCTGCCGCCAGGATTCTTAAGTGAAAAGCCGTCATTTTTCTCCTCCTCTTGGGTAAGCAGGAAACCTGGTGACAGAGACCTTGCGTTCCCTGCTGTTGCCGTGTCCCGTAATCCAGGGCCCCTCACAAAATGCGTGGCCCTGTGGGTCTGAGCTGAAGGCCCCAGCCCACCGGCCGGCCTGGCCCCTCTGGCCCCGGTGGCCCCAAACACCCGGTCCTGGAGTTCTCTGTCGGTTTCGTAGTGGGGGAAGCGCCGTGGGGTTTGCTGGTGTGCGGCGGGCCCTGGCCTGTTCTCGCAGAACAAAGGCAAAAGGCAGGACTTTCTGTCACTGTGCTGACGGAGCCTCGCTGGTCCCTGCGGGGACATCGGGCTGGAGTTTCCTGCCAGATCCTGGCCCCTTTCAGGTTTGGTGTTTACACCCAGAAGGAAGAGCAGGTGCGTGAGGACTGAAGGCCGTGGGCCGGGCCGAGGCGGGGGCCTGGCGCTTCCCTGTGTGGCTCACTCCCAGCCATGGCGCGGAGCCGTACCTGCACGCTGGGCGCGAGGGGCAGGGGGGATGTGGCAGGCTCAGGAAGCTATCGATGCCAGCGCTCAGCCCGTTCGAGGAAAAGCCCTCTCGCCAGGTCCTGCTCGGCTGCAGGCTGGCAGCTGTGACACGGGGGACAGGGCGGCCACGGCTCGGTCTCCGCGGACTTTTTTGGGGACGGGGGGAGGGGGCAGGGACTACACCCGGCTGGGCCAGGAATATGGCCCTGGGGCCCCGCGGGCGTGTCAGCACTTGGCTAGTAGACAACCCTCCGTGGGAACCACAGGAGTTCCGGAAGGTTGTCAGGACTTGGGCCACCGGCCACCAAGGCAGCTCGTTCTCCTGCCCCGGCACGAAGCAGCCTGCCTGAGTTCCCACCGGCGCCACGCCGTCCCGGCACCTCCCCGTCGGAACGTGTCCCTTTGCCCCTGAGTGAGGGTGTGCGGCTTACCCGGGGTGAGGCCCGCAAGCCACCTGCACGGGTGGCGGGGAGTGCGGGCCCACCGCAGAGCTGGTGCGCGGCTTCGTCAGGCTGGGTTTAAACGCCCCAGCAATCCCGGCGGGGGCGGGGGCGGGGGGCGCGGGGGGCAGTTGAGTGAGTGTAGCGACTGCGTATTTACCATCCCACCAGGCGTGTGGTGGCCGTGTCGCACTCGCGCGCTCCGGTTCGCACAGCGGGGCTTGTGTCCCCTCGGTTTGCCCCCGGCCTCGTTCACTCTGCTGGTCCCAGTGCCGTGTTTGGTTTTTAGTGGTTTAGATTCTCAGAAATCATGCGATTACCCAAAATTACCACGTTTGGGTTTTTTAAAAATAACTTGCAAAAAAAGTGGCCTACCCAAGGTTCGCAGTGAGTTGCTTCAAACTTTGAAATATCCCCCCCACTCCCAGAAGCAACGTTTAAATGGTGCTCAGGGTCCGTCCCTCGCTAGCTCACAGTCCATTCTATTTGTGACATGTGGTATAAGAAACAGTGTTGCCACAATATGGGTCATTAATTGGAACCCAAACTTAATTATGACATTAAATTGCTCATTGGACTTTCCCGGGTTGAGGTTCCCAAGGGAGTGGGACTAGGAGGCCCGTGGAAGCAGCCCCACGCCCATGGGCCCGCGGGGGCACCCCCACTCGCCCAGCGCGTCGCGGCCGGTGTCGCTCCTGCCGTGTGCCTCGACCCCCGCCTCTGTCGGGGTGAATCAGTGGGCGCCAGTCTTGCGCTTTCTCAGTCGCAGGTATGGTCCTGAGGGTTTAAAACAGGCAGTGAGAGGAAGAACACAGAAGCAGGGCCTTCCGTTTTTGTTATTTTACGTGGATAGGAGGTGGAAGATTCCAGAGGTGGAAGCTCAGTTCGACGTTACCTGAGGCAGGTGGGGCACCCGGCGGGAAAGGGAGCGCGGAGGCCCGGCTGGGGCCAGCAGCGCTCCAGGCGCGCGCCAGCCGGCTGCCTCGCCCTGGACGGCGGTCTGCGGGCCGCTGGGAGGCCACGCCGCAGGGAACTCTGGTCCTCACCTGGGGACGTCGCCGCGAGTGCGCCGTGCTGGCGTGGTGGCAGCAGAGTTGGAAGGCTTTTCAGGAAGCCCTTCACCTGCTTCCCTTAGAAACGGATTTAAGTAAATTCCACACCCTTCATCTGTTAAATGTTGTCATTGCTTTTGCAAATGAAAATTCATTTTTAATACATTCCAAATCTGACGTGAAAAGCTGTAAAATAAAATGTTATCATCTGCAAATATCGTAAGGTAAGAATACAGTTAACGTCTTGTTTTTAGAAAAGGGAATTTCGGTTTCTTTTTTTAACCCGTGCTGTCGGCAATGCACGTGTGCGCAGGATAAGTGTAACATGGCACATCCCAGCGATTCATGTTACACCTGTTAGCGCTCAGCATCGCAAAGTCCCCCACGCACATCCACAGCAAGGGGGTCGGCTGCGTGTTATACACACTGCACATACAAGAGGGGGACACCGGGCCACCAAGCTAAAAATAAGTGTCAGTTCCTTTTAGGACAGCAAAGTCTTAAATGAAAGTTTAAAGGTTTTTAAATTACCCAGCTGCCGACTTAAAAAAAGTTACAGGAGACTTCATTCGTTCATATTCGGCTCCTTTTCCCTCACAGGGGATGTTGCTGAAGCGAAGTGGCAAATCGCTGAACAAAGAGTGGAAGAAGAAATACGTCACCCTGTGTGACAACGGCGTGCTGACCTACCACCCCAGTTTGCATGTGAGTATCGCCCCTTTGGAGCCCTTCACAGGTGTTCTGTGTGCCGGGGGTGGGGGGGCGGGGGGCGGCGGCGGCGGCGCTGACCGCGGCCGAGCCACTTGCCTCTGGAGGTGAGGTCGGGCCTGGTCCCCTGCTCTGTCGTGAGATGAGTAACGCGCCCCCGCTCTATTTCCCTCTCCCTAACCGTCGGTCGGTCGGTCGGTCGGTCAGTGGCGCGCTCGCTAATGCCGCCAAGAATTTCCCTAGAAGGCGCAGATGAAGTAAAATTTTCTTTTAAAGATTTTATTTATTTTTTAGAGAAGGGAAGGGAGAGAAACATGGATTGGCTGCCCCTCCCACGCCCCCCTCCTGGGGACCTGGCGCGCAGCCCCGACTGAGGTTCACAGGTTCACTGAGGTTCACAGGTCGGCGCTCAGTCCGCTGAGCCTCACCAGCCAGGGCTGAAGTAAAACTTTTCATGAGTAAAAAGACAGGCACAAGTAGTCAAAGAATGGAGGAAAGAGACCACCCACCTGAAAGCCTAGACGGAGGGACGCGACTGCCCTGGAACCCAGCTGAGGACAAAAACGGGAAGCTAAGTGCCCTCCGTGACCCGGTATCTATTGTCGAGTGAGAACGCACACCGGTTTGTAGGGCGAGAGGCGCTTCCCTCCGGGGGTCAGTGAAACTCGTTCTGTTGCTGACTCTGTGAGGTGGATGAAAAACCGACAGTCCGATCCCCGGATCACACACAGGCCTTCTGCCCGCGGCGCATTTCCTAGGAAGCCCTGGTGGAGCCTGAAGACGGGGCGTCTGCCCCGTAGCACTCAGCCCGTGCGTCGTGCGTGTTGAGCCTGCCTGGATGTAGAGAAACGCATAGATGTGAATATGTAACGTTATCTGGTCAACTGATTGTTTCACTGTGTTCAGCTTTTAATTTAAGAACTCAAATACTTTTAAAATCGCACAGTTATTGAAAAGACAGTAGAAATAAGCATATTGAAGAAAATGAAAATCGCCCCCAAAATACTGCCCAGAGAGCATGACGGCCCCCCTTTGGGGGCGCCCTCCCCGCTGCCGCGCTTGTTCTTCCACCGCGCACGGTCCCCGGGTGGGCTGCGTGTGGTCCCCTCGCCGGAGCAAAGACACCTTCCACGCCTCTGCCTGATGGTTATAGCGCACCTACCGCGCAGGTCTGCCCCGGTTGAGTTAACACTATCTCCAAAGCGGGCGTTGGCCAAATGAGTTTACCCTGCGTTACCCTTACTAAGCAACTAGTCAACATCCTCTGTCCACACCTGGGCCCGTGTCCCTTTCGGCCGGACAGAGTCCCCACAGTCGGCCCCCCGAGTTAAGAGCGTTGTGCTTTGATGGCTTGGGGCACGCGTTGCTGAGTTCCCAGGGAGAGTACCGGTCTCTCTCCAGCGGCAGTGTATCGGGGGCTTGTCCCCCCGCACCCTCAGGAACATTTACCGTCAAAATAAATTAGATGTATTCCAACACGATCGGTACCCAGCGGCGTCCCGGCTGGGGTGCACCGCACCCCTCCCCCGCACCGCCCCTGGTCTTCGAGCCACGTGCAAAACCAGGGGCGTCGCTGGCCTGTGTCTGGCGTTGGTGGGAACACCTCCCAGATCAGAGTTCCTGATTTACTTCCGGCGACTCGGGGACCCCAGTCGGGTGGCTGCTCCAGAGGCCTCCAAAGCAGAGACGTAGCGCAGTCCCAGGAGAGGCCGCCCGAGACCCGTGCTGGCCGCCCCACCCCGCCGCCGCCCCAGGGCCGCGCGGTCCTCCCGGACGCGCTCCCCAGCGCTGCCCCGGCCGCGGGGAAGCTGCCTACCTCCTTGGCTCCGCTTCCCGTGAGACCCCGTCAGAGAGCGGAGGTCTGATTACTGACCTGGTTGCTCGATGTCATTTAGAGAACTAGAACCAAAATGTTCTTGCTGGACTCACTGAGCAGTCAAAAGTGAGATCTGACTGATGAATCATTTTGGGGCCCCTTCCTCCCACTGGCCAAGCCCAGGCCTGGTCACAGGGACCGCGGATGCTCCTGCCGAAGAGAAAAGTGGTTACCGCAGTGTGTACCAGAAGGTTCCCGGGGGCGGCCAAACGCCTGCTTGCTTTTCATCCCAGCCTCTGGGTTGTCTAATCACAATTAGTCCCGCAAAAACCCTCCCACACAGGCTTCGTCCTGTGATGTCCCTTGTTTTCGCCAGTTCCATCCCTTTTTAATGCGTGTGCCTGGATATTATTGGAACATGGAAAAGGAGCACCGTGGGGCTTTGTTACATAATAGCGCGGCCAGCAAGCGCCGGCGCCATTTCGCAGCGCAGCTCACTTAACGTCACAGAGCCCTGGGAACCGGAACTGTGGGTGCAGGTGCATAGGTCCCCGGGTCGTGGCCGAATCTGGGAACGGGTGGACGTACCCGAGCGCGAATGGACAGCATGACCTTCATTGTCACCCTTCACCAATTCCGCTTCCACGGCCGAACTTTGGAGGGGAGCTGGGGGCGGGGGGCGCAGGGTGCTGTGAGCACCAGGCGCATTCTCTGCTGGGTGCCGGGAGCAGGCCTGGCCTGGGCTGCAGGTCCGGGCCGCTGAGTCGCCCGGAGGCCTCAGGTCCGCACTGGGAAGAGGCATCCCCGGAAGTGCTCGTGTCACAGTGGGTCACCTCTGGGCACGAGCCACACCGCCCGCCCCCAGGTGGGTGCTGTGCGGACACTGGTGTGGCCTCGTCGGAACCAGCGGCGTCAGCGTGGGGCCCCAGCTGGGTGACCGGGTGATGTGCTCTCCCAAACTGTGGCTTCCGCACCAGGCTGCCGTCAGGACCTGGGACCACTGGGCTTTGCAGCTCCCGGCGGGGCTGGCGCAAGGGGGGCGGCCGGGCACCCCCGGGCCGGCCGCTGTGGACCGCAGGCAGGGGTCGCACGCCCAGGGTTGCGAGCGAGGGGCCTCCGCAGGTGGTAGCCCCGCGTCGTCACCTCCCAGTGGTCACCGTTGCTCCAGGCCTCTCTCCGTCTTCTCCCCGAGCCCCCTCTTTATCCCAGCCCTGGAGGTCTGCCCAGCTCTGCGGCCGCATCCCTAGGCGTGTCTGTCCGCTGTTCACCCCCAGCCCCACGCTCGGCTCCTGCAGGCTGTTCAGGGTCCACAGCCCTGGGCCCTCTGACGCGCAGCTCGGCCTCTGTCATCTCTTGGGCACAGGCTTTGCCCAGACCTCCCCTGCACTGAGATGGAAGTTGTAAAAGGGGCCATGGAGCCCCGGGCATATGCCCTGCTGTGAAAAATATCACAGGACCCTCTGTGTGATCAGATCGTAGCAAGTGATAGTTTCTCTGGAAATCTGAGTGAGAACAGGTCAAGTATGGACCGAACCCAGAGGGAGAAAGGCCTCCGAAAGTCGATACCAAACCCCAGATCCGCTTCCTCCGTGTTCCATGAAGTCTTAACCCTCCCCCACCCCTCCCCCACCCCACGCATCCTAGCCTGTGCCGTCAGCCTCTCCTCGAAGGCTCAGGAGCCGATAGCAGTGGCCGCCTCAGGCCAGCGGGGTCCCCTACCTCCAACGTTAAAGGCCAAGAGGAGGAGACCCGGGCACAGGGGAAGGCGTGGTGGTGGCTTTCAGCCCCAGGTGTCAAAGATCAGTGGTCCCCGCAGTGGGTGTCCGTGACAGCCACAGGGTCCGGTGGCGGGGACAGAGTCACTGAGCATTCCAGTTCTGCCGGGGGTGGGGTCCCTCACCCAGAGCCCGCAGGTCCTCGGCGGGTCCCTCCCTCTACCCGCACGTGTCCGCCAGCCCGCCTCCGACGTGCACAGAGGTTGGAGCTTGCCCCGGGAGGTCCGCTCACACGTCCGTCCCCGCCCCCAGTCGCTGAGGCCCCTCCCCCGACGCAGGGCATTGGGGGAACCTTGAGATGGGCCGGGTGGTGTCCGGAAACCCGGAGGAGGAGTCCTGTTGCCAGGTGGGGAACCAGATGGCACCGCCTTATGTGAGGTCGCCTCAGACCCTTCAAGAGCCTGCGGCTCCCCTGAGGAAAAGCCTGTCCCAGGGTCAGAGCTGCAGGGGCGGGGCAGGGGGAACACACCGTCACGTGGGGAGACGACTTCCCAGAAAACCCCGTCCACTTGCATTATCTCTGTCACCGTGCTGATGTTAAACTAAGTAAAACCTATCACCCAGTTCAGATGACAGATGGAAGGCTCAACCCAGATCATGAAGACACACCAGGTAGGGGGACAGCTGCCCAGTTTGCCCAGGATGCGGGACTCAGTCGCGGGCCGCCTGGCACGAGCTGACCACTGGCCTGCAGGACGGACCTGCCTCCCTGCTCCTTCAGCCCCACTTGGCATTTTGCAAAGACGACCTGAAACATTTAAGTAAAAGTAAGAGGTTGGAAAGCAAGACTTCTGATGTTTCTCCATGGTCTCTGTTTATTTCTCTGAAAAACTACACATGCATGAGCCCTGAGTACCTAACTTTCTTGAGGGCGGGGGGAGGATACACACGAGTGTCGTGTGGTTTTATGACACTCGGCTGGGCCCCATCGCACTGGGCAAAGGGCAGCCTGTTCCAGGGACTCAAATACGAGCCTCAGGGAGCACCGTGATGGAAAGACGGAGGGATAATGAGAAAGAACTCGCGCCTGGGAGCTTCACAGCATCACCGCCCATCCATCTTCCGTGGTGACAGCAGCTGCCCAGGCTCACTTTGCTCCTGACGGAGGTGTGCGCAAGGAGATTCCCAAGTGCGCCTGTAGGACTCAGCTGGTGGCCACGGTCCCTCCAGCCAAGGACTTTCCGGTGTCCTGGCCAGCTGTCCTGGGTGTCCTCGTGGGGACGTGTGGCCAGAACAGCCCACCTGGTGGGCGCGGTCTTTCCCAGCCTCTGTTGCCCAAGTTGGAAACAGCTGTGACGCAAAGAAATGATTCAAGGAAAAGGAGAAACATGGGTTGTGAGAACAGTTCTTGTCTGTACCCACTGCTGGTAATTATTCAAAGTGCACACAGTTCTCCTATAAAGTAA